AAGCAGAGGCTTAAAATATGATGGTGTGGCATTTGCGCTTCTGTGTCTGCCACAGAAAGAACACGTCTTGGTAGCCGCTAGTTCCAGAATGATGAGAGAATACACAGAGAAAACCTGAATCCAACCCACAGACTGGAGCAAAGCCCAGCTGAGCCCCACCTAAAATAAGCTGAGCCCCAGCCAACCCACAGCGTGTGAGCAAGAAATAAATGCTTACTGTTATAAGCCATGTAGCTTTGGAAGCTTTTCTTGCAGCATTACTGTGGGACAACTGACTAACACAAATACCTCAAGATACCTTGTATTCTGATAACCAGCCCTTCCTTGTCAGTTTAAGCTAGCTTGATTCTTTTTAGAACTTGCAATCAGGAAGCCCTAACTAATATAACAATCAATATTGCTTTGATTAATTCATTTCTTTGCTTTGCAAATACCAGAAATCGCCTTTTTACATTTAAAACTTTCATGGAATAGAGAGAGTTACATGGGCAGTACAAACAACAAATATGAACCCCTTTGTAAATACAATACTGAGTTGTTAATGAAAGCAAATATGGGTATAGGGACGGATAGATGGGTGAACAAGCTAAACAATTATGTATGTCTAAATGGGGAGTGTATCCAAGATCATATACAGGGTTGGCAGAATATGGGCCTCTCGAAGAGTATGAAGGGATGGACACTGGGAGGAGGTAACTATGGGGAGGAAGTGGGAGGGGATCTGCTGCATTGTAAATTTTGGTCAATGACATGAGACAAAGTATATGTGAACTGCTGTATGAAAAGTGAATTTACTCTGTAAATCTTCACCCAAATCCTAATAAAAAAAAAAAAAAACTTTCATGGAATAAAAAAGATAAGGCTTACTGGTCAGATGGAGACTGATGGAATCCCTGAGATTTTGGCCCTTAGTCACCTTTCTGGCCTAGAACTGAACTCACCCCCGTGGCTCCATTTTCAGGCAAACAATAAACAGGTCTACAGGCGAACAACAACACTTGGGAGGTAGACACTCTTAGAACAATCCACCATTCAAGATCGAAAGGGTAGTGTTTTGCCCAAAGACAAAGTTCAGAAGGCGGGAAGGGCTCAAAAAGAGGGAGGAATGGAAATGAAAACCACAGGGAGGAAGTGGGCTGAGTGATGCCACATTGAGGGAATTGCAATCAACGACTGATATGAAACAAAATGTGTGAACTGTTGAAAGAAAAAGGGATTCGCTTTGTAAGCTTTCACCCAAACCCCAATAAAACAGTGTAAATAAATAAATAAATAAACACAAAAAGGCACAGGTGCATAGGGAAAATAATTAAAAATTAAAGTTGCATGGTAGCTTAGGGAAACATAAGCACGCCTAGTATCTAAAATCTAAAGTAGCACAGCAAACTAAAGAGAAAAATCAGCTTTTATCATGACTGGCATCTTACCATTTTCTTGTCTGAAGAGAACCCAACTGCTACCCAGCCATCTGTGTCTGCACTCAGCTCAAATTCCACATCAGCTCCTATCATCCGGTAGCTAAGGAAGTAGTCACAGGTCTCTGCATTACAGCCCGGTTTGCCATATCTACAGGATACATGAAAACACATTACTGCTTCTTCATCTACTCATTCCAAATATATTTAGAAAGCAACTACTATGTACCAGGCAGGATGCTACGTGGTAGAACTAAATAAATTCAATCTTTGTTATCTGCGATCTTGAAAACAGGGTTTTGCTCAGGAAGGATCTTGGAGATTATCTGTTTTACTTTAGCTACACATCAACTGGGGTGCACATGGGAAGAGGTTGCCCAAGGTCCCACAGTGAGTCAGTGGCTGCAAGTGGACTTGAACGTGGATCTCCAAACTGCCAGTCTTCTTGAAATTACATTAGAGTTTCTTAAATGTGTTGATTACTGAATTATTTCTGAATCCCTTTTAGAAAAAAAAGTAATTCTCTGAGTTAATAATTTAAATTGTTTTTGTTACTTAAATGTATACCAACTCTACCTACTTAAGAGTTTTCATACAATCATGAAACTAACACAAATTACCACCTATATAAAAATCAAACAGCAAAACCAGGACCATTTAAATTCACCGCATTCTAGTGATGGATGATGTGGTTTTACTGAAAGCAGCTTTCTGCTCACATAGATGTGGTACATCTGACTGCATTGAGCAGGGTCTCTCAAGTTGAGCTTTTACTCAGGAAAACAGCACGATGGCTCAACTCTTCTCCACTCTTACCTATTTGAACTGTGGCAAAACCATCATTTATAAACGCACCCCCCCAAAAAAAAGTCTTATTTGGAATTCGTTAAGCATGAAGGCATCATTTATTAAAATTGCCTTTGCTCTTCCAGACTGTTTCATGCCAATACAATGACAAATTCATACATGAAGGTAGCTATCCAGATAATCAGATTCTGCATATGTTAATCTTTTTAAAGAGCACTATTGAAATGACAACACAAATGTTAAATTTCTTACAAAGGGCTAGTGGATCCTTTAAGAATCAGCAGGCCTTGGGTTGCAAACACTGTGTTATACCATTTTCAGAAGAGAGAGAACTGTAGCAGTGGGTGGGACAATTTAAGCTCTATTGGCAAATGGAGGGTATCTAAAGGAACAGACATAAGGTAGCTCATTTTTGACTGAGGAAAGAGTCAAGGTACATGCTCGCAGAGATAGCCTGAGCAGCTGGTAAGAGATACGAGATCAATGCAACATGGGACTGGGGTGAAAAAGGTGAAAAGAGGTAAGGAAAGCTAGAGGCAGGGTGAACAGGCCAGAAAACAAGTCAGCAGGGTACTGACATTCCTTTCCTTCACAAAACACTTCCCCGTCACCACAGCCATGCATCGCTAGCCATTTTCCACTCTACAGCTTTAC